TTTTTTTTTTTTTTTTTTTTTTTTTTTTTTTTTTTTTTTTTTTTTTTTTTTTTTTAAAAGGGGTGCCCTTTTTGTTTCTCTTTCTCTTTGTTCCACGCCGTTGTGCTCTCAAGGCCATTGATCTGTGAGTGATGGAGTCTGCTGCCCTCCAAGATGGGGGGCATCCCGTTGTTGTTCTGCTGGTGCTGGTAAAACGTGGAGCCCGGGTAGTGCCCGATGACCTCGCTGTAGGTCGGGGGCGGCCCCTCCATCCTGCCATTGCTGCCATAGCAGGTCGCGCTGATGCCAGAGTTACTGCTGGGGGGGCACGGCCCCCCGTACACCGAGTTATCTATCAAGTCACTGTCGAAGATGGTTCTGTTGGGGGGGGCCCGCACCGACTCTCTGTTGAGCTCCATCTGCTGCTCGGGGTCGCGCAGCTGCAGCGTGCAGGGTCCCTGGTACGGGGGGGGCTCCTCGCCGTCCGACAGCGAGATGGTGGGCGGCAGGTCGATCTCGTGCTGCATGTAGGGGTAGGTGGGCTGGAACCGGTTGAAGCGGTCCCTCTGCAGGAAGGATGGCACTGCCAGGCGGTCGCTGGGCCTCGGGGTGTAGATTTGCTGCTGGAAGGGAGAAAGAGAGAGAGAAAGAGGGCGAGGAGCGTGAGACGCTGCAGCGTGGGACGGCGGGAAAGGCAGTGGTGCCTGCATCGCCCTCACCTCTGTTATCCCGTTCCCCGACACGGTGCTTTCCGAAGGCCACAGGCTTCCCTCCTGCATTGGAAAGGAGAAGAGAGGGCAGAGTGAGTCTGACTGCCAGGGTGGCCTAAAGTTCCCTCTGCAAGCAGCTCGTGCCGGGTCTCACCCCAGAGCCCAGGTAAGACGCTGCTGCTGCCACCAACAAGTTCCTGCCCTGCTGTGGCAACACACAGCACGTGACCAGAGGAATTCACTATGATCACACCTGCTGGGTATCACAGAGGTCCATTCTAAGGTATTACCACTGAAAACACCCCTTCTGATCAAAATTTCCTTCCATGTTCACCTCCATTTCTATTGAATAGATCATCTGCAGAATGAATGATGAGAACGACACCAGCAAACAACCCTCTCTCCCATTTGCAGACTTTCCCCCCTCTCGCCCCCACACACCCAGCATGGATCTTTCCCCGGTTCAAACATGCCAGAGGAGTATTTTTCAATTTGTGATCCATGAGCCGTGGGTGATTCACAAGACATCAGAAAATGCTCCATGAAATAATGACAAGATTAAAAAAAAAAAAAAAAAAAAAAAAAAAAAAAAAAAAACACAAGCCAAAAAAAAAACCCCTCACACCCACATTCTGATGCACACAATCAAGGAAATCATGGGAAAATAAAGATAATAAGCGAAGAGCCAAATGTTAAGCCTAATTTTGATTTGGCTAAAAAAATAGAAATCTGTAGCAAGGGGATGGTTCCAGAGTATTTTTTCCACAAAATGATAAGCGGTCTTTAGCTTAAAACAGACTGAGGGATTGAGGTGTAGAGGTTTCCTTACACTGCAAACATCACCCTGATCCTGCAATCCAAACCCCGGCGCCAACAACCCCAGGCATGATAAAGCCACAATTTCCCCCAAACCCTGAGATTAGTTTACAATTCATGATCAAAACAAACAAACAAAGGTTCTTCCCATCTGCTGGTGATACTCCGAGCGTACACAGTTCACCCCAGACACTTTTGCCTTAGGGACTGAAATATTTAAATATTGCTAATATTCACATATAGCAACATCCCTCTGGCAGGCAGGACTGGAGGAAAACAGCCAGAAGGCTTGTAATTATAACCTGGAATAGCTGGCACTTCTCAGTTCCTTGTAGGTGAATCTCCAGTTCTGGCACTAGCAAGTCAGGCACAGGCAGAAGTACTTACCACCAGTGGAAAAAAAAAAGCCAAGAGAAAAAGGAATTCCCTTTACCTTTAGGTGTCCCACTCAAAGCCTATGTGCAGGGCCCTCCAGGTGTGGAAAGCACACACCTTCCTGCTATGAGAACACGTATTTCTCTAATGCTGGGGGGCCCAGGCAGCCCCATGCCCACCAACACCCTGTGAAAAGCTGCAGCTTTCCCACAACACCACGGGCACCTTCCCTGATAAAGTCTGATCCTCCCTGGACCTCATCCAGCTGTGAAGCACATCTGGCCTCATCCCAGGATGCAACACACGAGGGAACACGTTGCTGCATTCCTTTGCAGCCATGGCAGCGTCTCCAATCCCCCTCCTGACACAGCCAGGGTGTCCCTGTGGGCAGTGCCAGACCCCAGCGCTGTGACAGGAGCCTCAACACCCCACTGCAACACACACCAACTGCCCAAAACACAGCACCAGCACTGCACTAAAATCTGAGGAGAAACCACCCATTACATCCCCCTGCCCTCCCCTTTTCTTATTTTCCCCAGCTTCAGAATATATTTTCTCCTGTGGTATCGCACTTGGTATCAGATATGGACAGAATCCATCAGGTTCCTGTTTTTCAAGCTCAGCTCTGCACATAAACCTCAAGGCAGTCCTGGTGCCAGTGCAAGGAAAACAGTGATTTATATGGAAATGAGACGACCTGGATTCTTCCCCCTTCTTGGTATTTTTTAGGAGCACCTCCTTGGAGCAGAGGTTAAGTGCCACAATACCCAATACCGGCACCTTCCCTGGCCACAGCTGAGGAATGTGCTGGCTGAGTGACAGCCCTTCCCCGTGTTTCCTACAGACCTTGAGATTCCAACATGCAACTGTTTACACAGGCATCGACTGTTTAGTCTGGTCCATTTTACATGGATTTCTTGCCTGCAGGGATAGGCTCCAGTCAAATTCCCCCAGCAGCTAAAAGATCCAAGAGGAACTGCATCTGCCACAGACCAAATCCTTGCTTCTGACCCCCTGCTCAGCCATGGCACTGACACCAAAGGGCACAGGGAGGATTGCCACTGCCACCATGTGCAGCGCCAGCCCCTCACCTCATCCCAAAGGATGCCAAAGCAGCGGGCAGGAGCGGGAAGCACTCCGAAAATTGTGTTTACTTTACCATGCCCCCGTGGCAGACTTCCTGAGCAGTGAGTACCCCGTTGCCTTCTGCTAGATGTTTTATATTTAACTTGGCAGTGGGCAGTGCCATGGCAATATCCCATCTGCTTCCCCCTTTCCTGGGAATGATGTCAGTCAGTGCCCACGAGGGTGGCTGTATCCAAGTGTGGGGAGCATTGCCGTGCTCAGCTGGGACATCCCACCGTGGCAGGCAATTGGGAGAGCACCTACACAGCATCCCCTCCCCTTAAGTACCCAGAGTCTGCACCAATATCACATCCAGGTGTTTGGAAGAAAAGCTCTGGCTCACACACCAACTCATCTGTTTGCACAGATGAGGTCCAGGAATGATGCTCTGGGCAACACATGGATGCAAGAGCAGCAAACCAGTACAAACAGCACTAAAATGGGATCCTCAGAGATATAAGGAGCAGACAGGAGATCTGATTTCTGTAGGAGCTGGACCTCTGCAGCTGTTATTAACCACCTCTCCCGGGACTCCAGAGCCTGACCGCTCACCACCACCGACACACTACCGTGAGCGCACCTGGGAATGGCTCAGCTCTCCTAAAAACTCCAAACAGGATTAAAATTGCTGGAAATCAGTAGTCAGAAGAGGGGAAAGCCTCAGGGACAGAACACAGACATGCTTTTAGCCTTCGCTTTGTCCCTGGGATGGCTCCACAGCCCCACCAAACCAGGTAAAACTGTGCTGCCCCAGCGGGGCGGTCACTGCCGGAACCCTCGTCCTCGGGGCTCCCCTCACTCACCTCTGATTTTCAGAATATTTAGGACTTGAATCCATCTCAACAATGAACAGTCTAGAAAGCCATGGGTTTCTGAAATGAAAGCTGAGATTCTGCTGTCTGGTAAGCAATGGAGCTGTAAAAGCCTCCGCAAGTATTCCAGGACTTGCTGCAGAACCTAAAATTACTTTTTAATTTCTTTTTAGAGAAATCAATCTTCCACATTTATAGAACTACTTGTTTTAGTAATGTCAGAGAATTTTCTCTGCAAAGCTGCATGGTGCAAATTAAGCTCCTGAGCCTTCAGAGGGACTCATATTTTCCATTTTGGGGGACAAAGGAATGCTTGGAAACTGCACTTAAACCACTTTTTCCTGGGGGAGTGGGATACCACTGTTCCAAAGGTGCAGGGACAGTGTCATTCTTATTGCAAAAAAAAAAAAAAAAAAAAAAAAAGTTTTCAGTAGCATTTCTTAAATATTCTTAGTTCTGGAAAAATAAAATTACTTGTCATAAGGAGACAGAGTTTGAGTACAGCAAGAACAGTGATGGAGAAACACATGAGGTAATTCAAGACCGGCTTGCCAGCGAGAACCGCATTAAAAAAAAAAAACACAACCTTTAGGGAAATTAATTTCTCCTTCAGCTGTAATTTTTGAGCTACAGCAATGAAAAAAGGCAACTCCTGGAGACCGAGCATCCTCCTGACCAGGGGATGAACTGCTTTAATATTTCAGAAGATGAGAAGCGTGAATGCAGCTCCAGTGCCCGTCTGCGGTCACGACACCAAAATGAAGTTTGGGATTTAAAAAGCCCAACACCAGTTCAGTGCAAGTTTAATGGATTACATAAACCAGTATCCAGCCCTGAGTGGCCTCTGCCTGCCAACACCCCGCCCTCCTTCAGACTGGAGCTGTTTTCTGCTAAAAGACACACTGTGCTGAGCCTGAAAAGTGCTGCCTTTAAGATCTTCATTATGCTGGATCCCACTGTAACGAGATTCCCACTCATTAGCACTTGAGGGGCTTCTCCATCCCATCAGGAGGGTGCTTGGACCACAGGGAACCTCTACTGCCACTCCAACAACGCTGCACACCCAGCACAGGCAGGGCAGGGAGATGGGGAACAGTTCTAAAGAGGGGAAAAAAACCACTAAAATTCCACATTCTTATTTCTTATTTCTCTCCTTACAGAAAAGGTTTCAAAGACCCCACATCCTCACTGAGGTCGAGCAGAGGCACAGAGGTAAAACTCTGCCAAAAAGCCATTAAATGGCTGATGTGTCTGAAAACTGAGCTGGGCCCAAAAAATGGCTGAAAATGTTGGCCTGGTAAAATTCAAAAAATTAGAAAGAAAACAAAGAATAAAAGGAAAAAAGAATTATTTTTTAAAACAGCCCATTTTTCATTCAACCTGAAATTTCTGGTAAATCTCCATGTGATTTTAAAAACTTTTCAAAGAAAATAAAAACAAGCCACTTAAGAAAACAGAAATTAGTATATTAAAATAAAGAGGGCTTGATGTGAATATTGCTTTAGAAACATAAAATGAAACATTTGGCATTGTCCAGGTAAAACATTCTGGGCACGATAAAGCAGTAAAAAACTCTGAAAATGGGAAAACAACATTTCTGCTATTTTTAATAACTCATGTGCTCAGGTGCCCACTCTTTGCTACTGCTGGGTATGCACAGGATGATAAGAGGAACACAAGATTTCTGTGACCCCCAGAGAAGCCAGGATGCCTGTAGGGAGTTCATCTCTGATCCCCAAAGCAGGGAGGTGTCTGAGTGATCTCCCACCAGCTGGTTTAATGCGGGATCAGGTGGGATCAAGCATTCCCAGCACTCTGATCCCGCTGCAGCAGGACAGGCAACCCCGAGCTGGGCTCAGGGCCGTGCACTCTGCAGATGTGCTCCGCAGCCCATGGGATGAAGGGTGGGTTAACTGAGCTTGGGGTTTGCACAGATCTCCTTCCCAAGGGGAATCTTCCTCAGTCGGCACAAAGCAACTGATAAGCGGCCTTCGTCTGCTGCGTGTGGTGTGTGACAACACGAGCAGCTACGAGGGACAGCCCTGGGCAGCCTTCAACTGCACTGCACTGAAGGCTGGTTCAGTGAAAGATGTTTGGTATCTCCCTCAGGAAAAAAAAAAAAAGTGGAAAAATAGAATAAAACAAAAAAACCCAGGCAATCCCAGTATTTGATTGTTTTTCTGCAGCGAGTACAGATTTGATTCAAGAGAGCACTGCCCCACGCAGACCACCCTACCCTGGGACCCTGCAAAGGAGGGGCCATGGAGCGGTGACCTTCAGGGAGCCCCTACTGTTTAAAGAGCTCTAAGAGCCTTCAGGGTGAAAGCTAAAAAATAAAAATAAAAAATATCAGTACAAGATACCCCTGCGCTGAAGACAGAGCCAGGGAGGCAGCTGTGAATTAAACACTGCCCTGCAAGAAAATGTGATGTCTTTTCTCTGTACATCCTTCTAAGTCTCTCTGAGACACTGCATTTGAGAAAACTGCATGAACCATTATCTGCCTCGAGGCTGGAGAGGTTTCCCCTCTAATCCCTGTCAGAGGTACAATTAACATGTTTCTCCTCAGGCTTTTATAAGGCAGGGAGCCTGGGTTACAGAGAACCTCTCGTGCACCTCCTTGGAGAGATTTCTGCTTGTCTGGCTGACAAGTGTTTTCTGGCCCTTCTACCACCAGCAGTGGTGAAAACTGGAGCAAGTCTGTCAGGATTTCCTATTCTCTGCAAGGTAGGCAATAAATTTTTATACAGCCATTTGAGACTAACTGGAGTCAAAGCACTCAACAGCTTGGGGCTGCTAAAACGAGGCATATGAACCCAAACCAGCTGAGGGTACGTGGCAGTTTCAGGAACAGGACATGCCAAGAACAGCCTGGTGCAGTTACTTTACTGGTGTAAAATCCAAACTGCAAAGCTCAGGGCAAAAGCAGATGCTGTAGCTGTCCCTAACTTAGCACATACAGAACCCTAAAGAGCCGGAGCCACCCCTGAAAGGCTCCCCCACCCCCAATAACTGAGAGACAGACGATGCCAAGGCCAAACATGATCTCACACTGGTGGCTGGAAGAGCAGGGTATGACTTACTGATGAGAGGTTCTCGTCTCGCCGCCTGCCCTGGCTGTGCCGGCTGATGAAGGATCGCGCAGAGAGTTTGTAGTGGTTCAGCAGACACGTGATCACCACCACCATCACCATCATCACCACCACGATTATGATTATCTGTACAAACTCCAACTCCGCTGCAAGAGAGAGAGACAGACAGACTTTGAGCCATCAGGAAAAGCAACACGTCACTGAGCACAAGAACAGCTAATGTGGCCGAGATGCAACGACTCTGCTCATCCTTCCCCTTAAAGCTCTCACACGTGCCTACGTGGGCTCTGTGTGCTTTGAGCACAGCTACTTACTTAATAAAAACCTCATTAATTCACTTTTTCACTGTCACAGAAGGATCTCCAGGAGGTATCTCTAAGATCTGCAAAGCAGCGTTTCCAGGCTACAACACAGACCAGACTTCCCCAAACCCTCCTGGCTGCAGTGTGCTAGGCATCCCCACTGCCAGGTACAAATCCAGGAGCATCCCAGTGCCTCACTCAGGGCCACATAGCCATGAACCAGCATAACTCCTCCTAATGAAACCATTTAGCTGAACGCAAGCTGAATTTCTGCAATTCTCTTCCCATCACCACCGCTCCTTCCTCCAGGGAGGACTGGACTGGAGTCCTCCTCAGCACATCCCTGCACCGGGCACACATCCCCTCTGTCAGGGGCATCACAGTGGGAGCCCAGGGGATGGCACAGCACAGCAGGCACTGCAGCCCCCCTCTCTCCAATGCTGCCCATCCACCACGGGAAGCAGGCGGGGAGACCTCCTGCTTTTTGGTGAGACGCCTGATGGGTGCAACGCGTCTGCCCACGGGGGCCACATCCCGGAGCTCCAGACATCCCTCGGCTCAGGGCTCGGCCACCTGACAGTGGCAGCTTGAGTGGCTTGGACTGGCATAAAGGAAAGCTGCCAGAAACCCTCCAAACAAACAAGAACAAGCAAACAACAGACTACCCGGTTAACTCTGCAGACACTTGGCAAGAGGCAGTAAGAAGCCACTCCTAAAATTTCCTAAGGAAATAATTCCTCACACCTCTCTGAGGCTTAGGAAAATTGAGTACTAGAGGCAAACGCAGCACTCCCCGGGTCGTTGTTTCCATGCACTCTGCAGCCAGGGAATACCTGCCATCCCCAAACCACTCAGCCACTCCTCCAAACTCCCCTCGTGCCAACAGCGCCCAGGGCTGGGCAGCAGCAACTCCACTGTCCAACATACGGGAGGGGCCAGACCAGCAACATTTAATAGTTCTGGGGATTTACACTTTGTTTGCTTCTCAGTAGGGACAGCTATAAAATCCAGTTTAGGAAAGCTGTGCCCTAAGCTATCGTGGATGCTGCCATCTGTATTTAATCTGTACAGACACACACATATATATCTGTATATACACGGCAAAGCCCAGCAGACCTCCAAGGACAGCATCACACCGCTCACGCCAGCTGGGGTGGCTTCTGCTGAGTCAGGCAAATTTATTATTTTTTTTTAAATTTTTTTTTATGGAAAGTTTTCTCCTGACAGGTGGCATTTGAGTGCCAGTAAAAGCAAATAAATGTCAAGAAAACAGTCCAGGTGGTGAGTGCTGCCAGTTACCTTGGAGCTCTTTCTGCTAAACAGCAGCTATTTCTGCCACTGCCCACCACCTGCAGAAAGTAGAATTATGCCTTGAAAGCAGGAGCCTGATCTGGCACTTCGAGTTAGATGCATGAGGGACTTGGAGCACCCCTAAAACGCAGCTCCTCTACACCAGAAGGATGCACATGGGGTGGGAAGAGAGGGATTAAAAACCAAACGTTGCAAAGGAGTTTTGCCTTAAAAATGCCTTTCAGCTGTAGGCATCTTAAAGGATAAGCTCTGGGTCTTTCACAGCAACCCCAGCAAGGTGCCCAATGCCACTGTGAGAGGAAGAGCATGGATAAAAAACCCCCACATTCCCAACCATTTGATCCAGCCCCAAAGCAGCACAGCTCACCCTTGGGAATGACAGGTGACCGGACCCAAGAGCTGCCACTGGTGCCTTGTGCTGAAGGAACTGGCTCAAACAGGAGCTCACTGCTCCTAAACACAACTGCAGAACAGACACCCAGCCTGGGTGCAGAGCCCATTTTTTGTCAGAATTCATTATGGAAAAGAAAAAACTGAGCAACAAAAAAAACCCACCAACAAACCAGAAGTTTTTAGGAAGATGAGTCACTTCAGCCTCAAATGCACCATGTGCTTTGGCCACGGTAAGAAAACACAAGAAAAAATAGAAATGGAGCCAGTGATGGAAAACTTCCTTTTCTGTTAAAAAAGGTATTTCTGAAAAAAAAACCAAGACCACTGTGGCTGTAAAGGAAAGTTCCTTTCCTAGGACAAGAGGTCCCTTAAATGAACTAAACCTTGCTAAATTGGTCCTGGTACTTTGGTGACCCAGGTGATGTTTTGGCCATCAGGAAGTGCTGCCCTAATTCCTTCCTAGGAGGGAACACACATAAGATGTGTCACTTAAAAATGACCTAAACCAGGCTCCCCCCACACGCACACAGACATAGAACCAGCAGAGCCTGGAGCAGAAGGAAGGGTGGAAATTCCATCAGGGTTTAGGACAAGACGCCTGCGTCTCATCCATCCCCATCCAGCCTTCAGTGCTCTGGGACTCCTGTGACTGGAGCATTACAAAACACCTGCCAACAGGTGCAACAGGAAGGCACAGGATGAGTACCAGAACAAAGGGGACTCTGCTTTCCAGCAGGGATGTTCCTCCCGCCCCGTCTCTATCCCAAGCCCAGGCTGTGAGGAGCAGCCCAGCCTCGCCATGCCCAGGAGCAAACCCATCCCATATGCAGAGATGAGCTTTAATCCCAAGAATACTCGTGTTGCCCAATCTGGCCTTTGGAAAAAATAAAAGTCAAACCAAACCAAAAAAAGGCCCACACACTCAATTTGTGCTTTTCAAGTTTCAAGAGACTCATTCCCACTCGAGGCACCAAAGTTTCTGCCAATTCTCCCTCTGTTTTAACTTGTCTTCATGGGCTTCATTTGCAGAAGGGAAAAACAAACCCAACACACTGAAAAGCTGGATATACTCAGTAAGATTTTATCCAAGCAGCTCAGTCAAACTAATGAAGAAAGATCATTAAAAACCCAAAGTTTGAGTTAATACATTATTATACAAGTGCAATTCAGCTGCTATGCTAATAAAAAGCCTTTGGGGAATGAAAAACAAGCCAAACTGCAAAGCACATAATTTATAATTCTACTGGTATTCTTAAAAACACACACACAACAAAACAAGAAAAAAAAATACTCAACACATTTTGTATTTGGCTTCCTAATCATTGTCACTTTTCAATTAGAAGAGACCTCATTCCATTTCTCTCTGTAATTTTCCCCAGGGGAAGTGTTATAAATGCACTAGGCTTTACAAGATGGGCATATTCCGCCTCCAACTGCAAAGCAAGGTCACACTAATTTAATTTTGCATAATTTTTATTCCAGAATACGTTTCAAACTAACAGGTTCAGGCATCACATTTAAGTGACACAACCTGCTTTTCTGTATTCCCTGTCTAGACGCGGCAGCTCCGGGAGCCGGTCACTGTGCGTGCAACCGTTTTGCAACTAAGCAATTTCCCCCCCCAGATCCTCACCATCCCGAGGCCGGGTGTTCGTGATCAAGTGAAACCTCTTGTCACGTCCCATTCTTCACGTTCACTGCCCGCTTGCCACCTCCAACCCTGCGTGGCCCCGAGCGAGGGTTTCACAGAGGATTATAGGGACACGCTAACGAGCGATCGGAGACTCCGCCGCTTCCCAAAGCCTGCTCTCCTGCTCAGAGGTGTGTCTAGGAGGCAGCTCATGTCCCTGCTGCCCATCCCCTGGCCACCAAGACCCGTAATGCCCTAAAGTGCTTGGGATTCAGGCAAGCAGAGCCGATGTGGGGGCGCCTCACTGGCGCGACCCCACTCATCCCACTGAGGACCACGCTCACCCCTCGACAGAAGCAGCTGCAGGAAGGTGCATCTCCGGGCTTCCTCGAGTGCCCACAAACAAAATACCTGGCACCCAGAGGTTGAAAATTCATGAATATTTTTACAAGGAGGGTGATTTGAGTCAACGGTGACTCTGGCAGCGCCGAGCCTCTGCACACCCTCACGGCTCACTTAGGGCTGCAGGGGAGGTGAGGCTGGGACACACTTTAAATGCACTGCCTTGCCTTTTACAGCTGCACCACAGTTCATAAAATGCTTACTATAAACTTTATTAATGCTCTTCCTTCCACATAGGCTATCTCTGAGGAAGACAAATGCTCTAAACCACTGGCAAGTATAAAGGAGAAAAAAACCCAAACACCCAAACCTGTATTTTGCTGCACTCATTCTGGAGCTATTACTTACAGGGGGACAGAACAGCTTTCAGACAGGGCCTCGGCCAAGATGACCTTTGTAGTCAGCCAGGTATAATACACATCTGTAGGCTAAATCAGCTATCCATAGGATTCAATTACAATTTCTGTATATAATGAAGTGAGGAAAAGTGAAGTTACCCAGGAGATAATGGCTAAGCTGAACAAATGTAGTTGCACTAGCCACAATTCCTAAGGAAAAAAAAAACCCTTTTAAAAAACCCAATTCCAGTAATCATAAATGCTGTAGTGCACCATGCTAAAACCCAGGTCTGCTTTGCTGATACAAAATTAAAGTCAGCAGAGAATCTCCTGCAGAACACTTTGCTTCTCCTTTCACTTCCTCTGGGTATTTTTGCCATTAAAAATTCTTTAGTTGTGACTTGAAACATTGCCGAGACAGTTCAAGTATAAGTCTGATCACAAGCTCACACAGACTATCCAAAACACGCTCTTAAGGGTGTGGAGAAAAAACTCCTGCTGCTGATTCCATCTTCTAGTGGACATCAGCCCATGTGAGGCAATCCAGGCAGGGTGAGATACCTCCCAAACAAGCCTCGCTGCTCAAATAAGCCAACAATCAATTTTCACCCAGGATGGATGGAATATGCACCTCAGCTTCTACACGTTCTCAAGACAGTCCCTCAGCATCAGAGCCCCACCATCACTTCTTTCCTCAGCATTCTTTGGGAAAATACATCTAAACCCGTGTTTTGGGTTTGCTCTGTGTGCCTGGCAGAGAGGAGAGCTGG